CGTCAATTGTAGATTATGTAGCAGCGCGCCGTAGCTTTGTTGTTTTATTATATGTGATGGTGGTGAATTCTCAGGGAGGCATAGACTCGGGCTGGTTGTCAACGCGAGAGCCACGTTAAAAGTGAGCGTGTAACGCAGCAACAACCGGTACAAGTAGCCTTCTGATTCCACGAGCTTTTTCTCTTTGCGAAACTAGCTCTGCAATTGTGTGAAGCTGGGCGTGCTCCTGTAAAGTTGGTATGGGAGCGATGCGAAATGACGTGGTTATTGTGCGCATAGCATCATGGTTAATAGTCGCCAACTGTGCCAACTGGGCCAAAGTTAACCGTTGAAATAGCGCCTGGTATAAAATCTTCGGCTGCAGAACTGCGCGGAAGAGCTGTCGAGCTACATGTGTACGAGCTCCAGCTGCTTTCGATGCAATGCGGCGAATCAGATGAAGTGTTTTTGTAGAGCTCTGACTTTTCGAAGCCAGTGCACTCCACTGCCGGACTCGTGGATATCCACACATATTATGCGGACCTCCGAAGCCTCAGGAATGGTCACTGCACCTAGTGTAAATGTATAAGGGCACTACTTGATTTTTCTGCGCCCTGCTTTGTTAGCTACTTGAACATAGCATGAATTTTCTGCGAACATGTCTAACCCTACGTTTCGAATGTAGCTCTGATGAACATCAAGGGTTTTCTGAAGCTCTTGTGCTTGTCTAGAGACGTATTTATGCACAGACCATAAAGTCACATCATCAGCGTATATTACAAATCTCACTTCTGGAATTCGGTGTAGTTGCCGTGCTAGAGGTATTAGAGCAATGTTGAACAGGAGAGGAGCCAAAACGGATCCTTGCGGGACACCTCTGTTAGACCTAAATAAACTTTCAGGTTTTCCATCTAGTCTTATCGTAAATGTGCGGTTGTGAAAGAAAGAGTAAAGAAATCTTACTACCCGCAGTGTACATCCGAGCTCGATGAGGTTGGATAAAATGACGTCATTGTTTATGTTGTCGTAAGCTCTCGTCATGTTCGTTGCTTTTACAGTGCGTACTGCGTGGCGGTGGGGAGAAACTTGTAAAATGTCATACGACAAGACAGAAAAGCCGTCTTCAGTCCCCAAATGAGAACAGAACCCGATTTGAGGTGTATGGTACTTCTAGTGTAGTTCAAGCCACCAAGAAACACGTGTGGCCACCATCTTTTCAGCAAGCTTGCAGACAGTAGCAGTCAATTAAATTGGGCATAAGGATTGCAGGCTATTTGAAGACTTTCCGGGTTTTAGAATTGGGACGAAAACTGAGTGTTTGCAATCAGATGGGAGGTCTTCAGTTTCCCATATTTTATTAATAGCCTGCAGAAGTGCATCAGGCGCTTAACATTCCGTGTTCTTAAAACTTCGTATGAAATACCGTCTGGACCAGGTGTTGTTCCTTGTTGAGAAGTTTCAATCGCCGCTATTAATTCGGTCATGCCGAAAGGCCTGGATATATCGGATTGGGCAGTTGGCTCAAGCTTGTCGATTTCGGGGCAGGTTATAAAAAATGTGCTATCATACTTCAGAAAAAATTCTCTAGCAGCCTGCTCTGTAAATTCTTTTGGCGTACTTTGCATCGATAACCTAAATCTCGTTGCAGGGTGTTGCTTGTAACCGCGTTCCATCGACCGGAACGTACGCCAAAGGGCTCTGTTTCCCATGCCAGATGCAAGTTTTTCACACCACTCATGCCACCGCTGTCGAGAATGCTGTTTTTCGTGCCGACGTGACTTTGCTGCTATATGGTTGGCATGTGCACGGCTAACTGGTGCATTTCATTTCATTTTATTACCTTAAAGACCCCACTAGGGGTCTTTAAGGGATAAATGTTCCTAATATACGTTAACGACTTACCTTTGCACGTTTCATGTCATATTCACATGTTCGCTGATGATTGCGTCATTTGTCGTACTATTACTAATCCATCTGAGCAGCAAGCACTTCAACATAATCTTAACTCTATTCAAGCATGGTGTGACCATAGGCTCATGACACTTAACCCAACTAAATACAAATCATTATCTTTCTCACGTCGTCAAAACCTTTTAACTTTTCCTTACACACTCGGTAATGTTGACTTGGACAGAGTCGAATTGATTGATTGATTTGATTGATTGATATGTGGGGTTTAACGTCCCAAAACCACTATATGATTATGAGAGACGCCATAGTAGAGGGCTCCGGAAATTTCGACCACCTGGGGTTCTTTAACAAGCACCCAAATCTGAGCACACGGGCCTACAACATTTCCGCCTCCATCGGAAATGCAGCCGCCACAGCCGGGATTCGAACCCACGACCTGCGGGTCAGCAGCCGAGTACCTTAGCCACTAGACAGCACCCAATAACCATGTGAGATCTGGAGCATGCGTTTCCGATGTTTTACGTGCAGAGCAGGTAGACACGGCGTGATTGTTCAACAGAGTGAATGTGGCGTCAGTCATGATGTTTTTAACCTGACATCCTCGTTGGGAATCGTGCTTGTATCCCCAATCAGTATGTGGTGCATTGAAATCTCCACTTACAAGGATGGGAATCCCCGGATACGTAGAACGCAGATGTGCTGTCCATCCCAAGTTAATACGTGTATGCTGTGGTCCGACATAGAAGGACACTAGTATGACAGCAATCCTCAATGATTCTGTCAAGACTGTGACAACTTCTTGATTTCCATTACTACATGGTGCCTTAGTAATCATTGTATAGGGAATACACGATGACACATACACTGCAACTTTTCCCGGAGTTTCACCCTTAGTCGTAGCGCGCCCACCTCTAATGGACGGGTTATGATACCCAATAAAATTATACACAGAGCACAGCTTATTATGGTCTTGAACAAGTAGTGCCCATACATATAGCTTCTTGTATTCAAGCTTGGTTTTAACTTCTCCTAACTTGGAGCTGAAGCCTCGAAAATTCTATTGAAAAATTCCGTCACGTAGCAGCTGCTGGAGAGAGTTAGCCATAATACAAGCAATCCTGTATGAGTGCCGTCAGTTGAGCAAGATGATCCAAAACTGCTGTCCAAACTGGTTGGTTGACCCGTAGTTGACTTTTGCCCGACGTGTTGGCTGCAGGCAAAACTGGGGAATGCGCACTCAGTCATTCAATGCGTGTAGGTCCTGTTTTCTGGCGCTTCAGAATGACAAATTCCTTACGTTTTTGTAGCCTCTCAATTTCTTTGGCTAATGCTTCTATCTGAGCGTCAATATCATCGTGGCCATCATTCGATTCAAGGAGTGGTTCAGCTAACTTTGGGTTCATTGTCTGGGTCTGTCTGCCTTGTTTAATCATTAAGAGTACAGTTGTGTCTCGGAGCCCTGTGTGTCTTCTGTCGTGAGTGTCTCCGGCTCTTCAGTATGAACTTCGACGTGATTATTTGTTCTTACTATATTGTGATTTCGTGTAGCCTTTCGTAATGTCGCTGTGGCCCTCCGTTTAGACGGACAGTTACACTTGTCATGTCGAGCTCATCGGATTTACATCGGCCAAATCTATGTAGTGGTTGGTCCTCAGGTGTGAGCCTTTCTGGGTCAATAGTACGCAGTGGACAAAATGCCTGCATGCGTCTTCGTTGAAAGCAACGGTAACAGAAACTTGCTCCAGGAAGGTAGAGTTTGGGGCGGAACAAACACCCATAGTAGTAAATTTTGTCAGGAATACATTGGAGGCCTTGCACCGTTACTAAGCATGTACGACTTTTGCCCATGAATCTGGCCGCAAGAACCTTGTGCGTCGGGGAGTAGCATTTGCGACATATTATCTCAGGAGAGTTTTTACGGTCCTTGCAATAGACAACACCTTTTGTATGTTAGGGCCCAATGCAGAGTAGCACTGCACAGGCAGCTCTCGATCTTCTGACAGTGGTATAGATGTTAAAGAGCATAGCTTCTGCATATCGTTGAGAGATGCCAAGTGCACAGTAATTGTGTTTGTCGATCTGTATGCTATGAACCCTTTGTATCCCTTTGTTTCAAGGGCATGGTCAATGGCCCTTTGAACATGTTTGGTGGGCACTGAAGTTATGTCGTAGCATGAGGGGGGGCGTATGTGAACTCGATAAGATTGGGAAGGGGCAGGCATTAAGTAGGACCGAGAAGCGCATAGCGCGCACGCATTATCAGGGTTGGCCCTTACCTTTTTCGGTGGTTGCTCCAATGGGATGGCATCTTGTTGATGCACAATGACAGGAGGATTTCGCTTTGCTGGAATAACGAGAATGCGAGAAGACTGCAGGTTAATGGGGTCCCCACTGTCCACCAACACGGCCTGCCGTTAGTTCGTACTCTCATCACGAAGTGTACAGTACTTGGTCATTGCACCTTGAATCGTTTAACTGTCAGCTGCCCGTTGCTGCTGCGTAGTTGGCACGGAAGTGGTCATGCGCGATAGTCCAGTATATGGCTTAAATGAAACGCCCCCATCTGCCACCACCACGTCTTCTTCTTCAGGCGAGTGTGGCCACTGGGCTACATTAGGCCTAAACGACAGCCTTGCATATTCAAAGTCGACTAGTCACGCAGAATCAGCAAGACAGGCCAAAGGAACGTCCCCACCAAAGTTCTCAGGTCCCCATACGCTTCCGAGAAGCTTCCTATCTGGATACGGTTGAGAATTTTGTTGGCGTTGAGCAATTTCTAACGGAGCGAAAGAAACAACGTCTGCGTTGAAACGTCTTCGTCCGTAACTAGTACTTGCACAGCAGGTCTATTCATACGGAAAGCGGGCGACAGCCACCGAAACAGGAATCACAGCGTTCGGGGACACAGCTCCTGCTCGGCTCCTCTCGCTAAGAGCGTGACCCACTGCGGTACATAATCTTCTTGTTCTCTACACAAGCAGATATGTGGCCAATTTTTTCATATCAAATGACGATATTTGAACTGCCTCCAGAGTTGGCACTGTATTCATATGCAGTTCGTTTTCACATACCCACAAAATGGTGCTGAACTTATTTTCTACTTTGTTCAGGTGCATTAGGCAAAGAAAATGCTCCGGAAAGGCCGCCTTTTGGACCTGCTGTTTACGACCTTCATTACAGCACATTACATGCTGTACATTGCTCATTGCGAAGTTAAAATACAACACTGCGAAGTTAAGAATGGTAAGGTGTGCCATGTTTATAAACACAACTAAATACTAATTTAATAAATCAAGGTAGTTGCGTCCAATAATATGCGTCAAATAAATTGTTGGCCTCACTGACCGGTCATTGCGTAGATGCAGAGTGACTTCGGCGGCACATATCAGCAGTGGAATCTCCTATTTATGATCACTAGCGTTCATTTACACACAAAATATCAAAAAATTCATCACGGTATTGTGTGGCATATATAAAATATTGGCTGTTTTTCCACTCTAGCAATATGTATAGCACGAAAGTGTTTGAGTGTTCATAGGGTATTGAAAATTCCGTGATTGTACAATGTCTATTGATGATTGTCAGGTTAGGGCCACCTGTATCGGGCGCACGCGCGCGTGCGATCCAGGTGGCCATGGGCAGGTATTCAATATACCCAATGACCGTCACGCCACCAAGCTGAATTCTGGAAGGAGCATGGTCTTGAGAAAGTTCAGTCAACGACACGATGTCAGTCTTACGCATTCGCTCCTTTGTTCGGCTGTGCTAGTTAACACGTTAGCAAAAAATTAACATTACGACTTTGCATGTTTCCTCAGTAAGTGAAAAACGTCGCCTTCCGTAACAGGACAAGTCTCATTTTTTCTTGCGAAGCATGAACTTATTTTGCAAATACGTGGCAACTCGAATTTTTAATTGCCCACAGCATACACATATAGGCTTCCACAGGTTTTCTTTAGCAACCTAGGTTAGTTTAATGTTATCGCATGGCTTTACCACTGCGAAACCACTTTTTTTTTCCTGCATTTAGCTTTCGCCGCTGATTTTGTAGTTCATGAAATCCTCAAGATTGCATGCGGGAAGTCACATGGACTCGTGACTTACTCTTCTACAACTGAGCAATTTCAAATGTCAGCGCTACACCGCTTTTTCTTGTACGTTCGATAAGAAGTGGCAGCACAGTGCAAGACATTTGCTTGTTGACCAGTTTGTGAACCAAATGTTTTTTGCGCCCATGTAAAGTGGACATATAGAGTGGCCGAAGTCATTAGGCGCAGAAATTGCTTGCAGTAGAGTGGTTGAAAAGAAAAACAAGAACATTGTGACAATGGCGATTTTCACTGGACGTAGAAGGCTGGGAAGGCATCGAGAGTGACAGCGACTGTGAACAATCAACTGCTGACCCATGAGGGGAGGGTTGCACGGTTACACTTCATGTCCCTTCGTGCGCTAATGCTTTTTATTGCATTTATCCATGGTACCTTGATTATATTAAATGTGTCATATCCTTCAGCCAGAACGTCTACTATGCATTCTTTCCCCACAAGAGCGAAGGAATGAATGCTACAAAAAATTAAAATTTCACGCGAAGGACGGAAGCAACTCGAAAACTTGCATGATGCGCGAACCTGAATCAGAAAGGACGCATGAAATGAGACACCCAGGACGAGCGCGGATTAACAGCTATCATAGTTGTACACTTGAAGGGTTTTTTTAAACACAAAGAAAGACGCATAAAACGAACACACGAATATATACAGAGTTAGCGCGAGCCATTGTCATAAATGCAGCTTCATGTGCATTAAACACACCATACTTTTGAAAACGTTGTGGCTGCGGCGAATGAAGGGACTTGCGTGTGCTATTTAACCACTGAAATTGAAAATAAAACTTGCAGTACCCCAGTCACGGGAATGCATGCACAATACACGATGGCTGAAGTGGCCCGTTGTCGTTATCGCATAACGTAGTGGCCGACGTGGCGAAGGTCTCCCAGCCTAGGCCAAGCGGCGTTCAATGAGACCCGGTGCTCAGAGCCAACGTGCCCCACTATGGACTGCCTTTGTCGACTTGCTTCGAAGGGGGCTTGCGCCAGGAACGTCAGTGATTGCGACGCACGGTTGCTCTCGAACGGGATCACTCTGGAACCGCGTCGATGTCTCCTGCTCCCTTTCGGCACGCTGTAGAGAAGCCGCCGAACACTGAAGTGGGTAAAACTCTCAAGTGTTCTCTAGTGGGTCTACCCGAAGAAGGACGCCGCTCGCGCTTGGAGTCCGTGCTTGGCCGTTACTGTCGCCATTGTCTATACTCGCTGTGTGCCTGCTAATAAACGCCATAACAAATTGGTGGAGAGTGCTACGATCCCCTTTGATGCCCTGGGAACTGCGCTCACGTACCCTGGAGTCTACCATGTCCCACGACGCCTCTCAGCAAACGCCTCCTCCCATGCCACCCCCTTGTCCCGGTGTCCCCAGGATCCGAGATCCACCCATCTTCACGGGCGCCGATGGCACTGACGTGGAGGACTGGCTCGCTATTTACGAGCGCGTGAGCGTGCCCAACAAATGGGACGAGGACGGCAAGTTGGCAAACTTGGTGTTCTACCTTGCAGGCGTTGCGAGCTTGTGGTACAACAACCACGCGTCCGATATCGCAACCTGGTCCAATTTCAAGACCGCTATCACCAACGTTTTTGGCCGCCCTGCCGTTCGTAAGCTGCAAGCCGAGCAGCGCTTACGCGAACGCGCTCAGCAGGCCGGTGAGTCATTCACCAGTTACATAGAAGATGTCCTGGACCTGTGCAAGAAATCTAACGACAGCATGTCCGAATCAGACAAGATCCGGAACGTCATGAAGGGCATTGACGATGATGCCTTCACGATGCTGCTTGCCAAAAACCCAGGCACAGTAGCTGAGGTCATCACGCTATGCCAGAGCTATGAGGAGCTCCGCCGGCAGCGTTCGATGACCCGTCGCTCCACACCACGAGATGCAGGGCTTGCAGGCTTGGAGGCGAGCTGTGATCAGGTGGCACTGCTGGCAGACCTCAAGTCCTTCATACGTGAGGAAATCGCGCGGCAGTTCTCTATCCTGCACTTCGCCCACCCACCGGCTGCTCAACAATCGGCCACTGCTATTCTTCCACCCATACGCCGAGCAATTGAGCAGGAAATAGCGGAGGTCATGCCTGCGTACCAACCACAGCAGCTTCCGGCCCCTGCGCCCCCAAGTTACGCCCAAGTGGTCGCCAGGCCGCCTCCAGTCGTTCAACCGCCCGCCCCACTGACTTACGCCGAAGCTGCCGCACGACCTGCATCCTTTGCAGCGGCTACGCCGGCTACGTATGTTGACGTGACCTCTCAGACTCAGCTCCAGCACCCCCTGCAGCCTTTCCAGCCACCGTTCCGTCCATCGGCTCTTGCGTCATGGACAAGACCTACCCCAGCGAACCGATGGCGCACACCCGACAACCGGCCCATCTGCTTTGCCTGTGGTTACGCTGGTCACGTAGCCCGTTATTGCCATCGTGTACAGCCGGCTCGAATTTCTTCGCCTAGTGCTGGCCACCTCAGCCGTCCCTATCACGACGAACCACCGTCTATGCCACCGCCGTCTCGCCCAGGTCCATCTCCTCGAAGGTCGCCGTCTCCACGACGTCGTTCCCTGTCCCCCATGAGGCCAAGTTCAGCTACTCATGAGCGGGAAAACTAGTCGTCGCAGTCCCCGAGGCAAGGACTGCGAGGCTATTGCGATGTGAAAGCCCTCAGAGCCGCCCATCTAATGTCATCGACGTGCTTGTGGACGGTGTTCATGCGTCTGCTCTTATTGACACTGGAGCTGCAGTATCCGTTATGGACGAAAACTTTTGCCGCTTGCTTCGAAAAGTGACGACGCCGATTTCTGGGTTGTCCCTTCGTACTGCCGGTTCACATCGTATCCATCCTTCAGCAGAGTGCACAGCTCGCGTTGTCGTTCAGGACGTTCTGTATGTCGGCCAATTCATCATCATTCCTGCATGCTCTCATGACGTCATCCTGGGGTGGGATTTTCTTTCCCGCAACGACGCCGTCATCCATTGTGCCAATGCCGAAATTGAACTCTCACCCTTCTCGCATTTGACGCCGGAAGACAGTCCCTCAAAATTGAGTAAGATTCTCGTGAAAGACGACACCTTAGTGCCTCCAAGCTCAGCGATGGGTGTACATGTCTACTGCGCTGGACTCTCCGACACAATTGCGCTCGTTTCGCCATCCGACCGTGCTTGCCGACGGAAAGGGTTGCTAGTACCTTTCGCGACCGTGCAAATCACCCAGAGCAACGCCGCTATTTTTGTGACCAACCCATCCCCGTACACTGTTACCTTGGTTCGAGGGGAATGTCTCGGCAGAGTGGAACCAGTGGATAACGCACAAGTCCTGGACGTACCTGATGACTCGCGTTGTCCCAGTTCGTGTACTGTCAGCGCTGTTTCCACTTATGATTCATCATCTCCTGATGTATTCGGCCCCTACATTGATGACAATCTTACGTCGGTACAGCGTTCCCAGCTTCTGGACCTGCTGCGAGAATATCATTCTTCTTTCGATGTCGGGCGAAGTTCTCTCGGTCGCGCATCCGCTGTTACACATCGTATCGACACTGGTGCCCATCCACCATTACGGCAACGTCCCTACCGCGTGTCGCCTGCTGAACGTCGGGAAATTAACGAGCAGGTTGATGATATGCTCAGACGCGACGTTATTCGGCCCTCGGACAGTCCCTGGGCGTCTCCTGTTGTTCTTGTCGCGAAGAAAGATGGTTCTGTGCGGTTCTGTGTGGACTACAGACGGCTCAATAAGATCACGCGCAAGGATGTTTACCCACTGCCGCGCATCGATGACGCAATTGACAGCCTTCACGGAGCCGAATTTTTTTCTTCTCTCGATCTGCGCTCGGGGTACTGGCAAGTACCCATGGCTGATGACGCTCGACCGAAGACTGCGTTCATCACACCCGACGGCTTGTACGAATTCAACGTCATGCCGTTTGGTCTATGTAATGCTCCTGCGACCTTTGAGCGCATGATGGACACCGTGCTGCGCAACTTGAAATGGCACACGTGCTTGTGTTACCTCGATGACGTTGTTGTGTTCGCCCCAGATTTCTCCACGCATCTCCAACGTCTGAAAGAAGTTTTCGCACGTGTGAGCAATGCCGGCTTGCAACTAAATCTGCAGAAGTGCCGCTTTGCAGCACGGCAACTG